GAGTGCTGCATAAATCCACAGTTTCAGTGATTCCCTCCCTTTCCTGGTCCTTGAAGTAGCCTCAGACTATTGAGGTTTTCTAAAGGCTTTCACTGCCAAACTAAGAGAAAAAAAAAATCAAGGCCAAGCAAAGCTCCATCCTGTGCCACCATGGGAACCAGACCCTTCCATCCTGGCATCCAGTCCCTGCAGTAAGGGGTAAAGTCTTAGGAAGCAATGTGAGGAGCTAGAAAATGAGAGTAAGGATGCTCCAGACTCACTGAATGGGCCAGGACATAGAAGTGTAGCTTTGTTCCTGCTGCTTCCCGCCGCCAGCACCAGGGTTGCATCTGTGTGACAAGTTACCTGTAACAGTGCCAGTTTGGATGGAAGAGAAAGGGAGCGAAGGACAATGAAGGGGCCAGTCACAGGCCACTGAAAGGAAAGGAAGGAAGCCCCAGTGTGCAGTAGGGACTATGCCCGAGTGGTTCCTGGTAGCTTCACTGGCCAAATCTTAAGGTCTGCCGTGGCGCACAAACTGACCACTGCTGCACATATAGACGAGGACCCTCATAGTGGTCAACATGTTGATTATACCAAACGGTGTTGTTTGTGACATTTTATTCCAAATTTTGTTTACTCAGCAGGGTTCAGTTTCTGCTGGTGGGCGGGTGGGGGAGGAGCGGATACTGAAATAAACACACTCATTTTCTTATTCATTTTTCTTTTTCTAGATGCACATGCTTAGGATCAAGTGCAGAAACTTTAAGGAGATTTTTAGGCCATGGGCCTGAGTTCCAGAAGCCTAAATAGGTTAAGCGCACCATCTCCATCAGCAGGCCAGTTAGAGGCCAGTTGTGGTGAAAAGAGAGGACAGAGAAAGATACAAAAGGATCTAGTGTTCCCAAGTTCATGTTAGCAAGTCTGACATGATGTTCAGATTCACTGAAGGACAAGGGGTATGCGTAATTAAGCAATCCTTGTCAGTGTATGGTCCTACTAAGCTCCATGATTGCTTCTGCTCCGGTCTCTCAAGGTGTTTCCATAAAATGCTAATCATTGTCATTAACTGTGGAGACCCTTTGGTTTCTGCACAATGACTACTTTAGTTCCAGGTGCAGTCTCACCTTCATGGATAATTGTCTATATTCATATGTGTGTGTGTGTGTATGTGTGTGTGTGTGTGTGTGTGTGTGTGTGTGTGTGTGTGTGTGTGTGTGTGGTGCAGGGAGAAGGTGGGGAGAATCTTGCCTAGAGATCTTGCTCTTCTTGGAATCCAAGGTGACTAGGTTTAGGACAATGACTTACCTGTGTGACTTCAGCCCGGAAGGATGACATATGTTAGGTAGGTGGACCCAAGTAGGAACCTGACCTGACCCAGAATAAAAGAGACAGACACCAAATAAAGACTGAGGTGCCAAGTGTTTATCTTTCACTTAGTTCTCTGTGGGGCCGCCCGCCCAACTGAGATCTCAAAACTGCAGTGAAAGCAGCTTCTGTGTGCCTTCATGATAGGCTCTTCTACTGGCTTGCATTCTTACAAGCTAGCAGCAAAAGAAACAAATCTCACTAGCTACACTTCTGTAGTAACTTAGACACAGTGCAGTGGTCTGCTGCTTCCCTTATGCCAACACACAGCTATCATTCCTAGAATGACAGGCTCCTTGGTATTTGATGCCCATTTGGTGGGGAAGCATGTTTTAAAGGATTGAAAGGGAAATTTTTTTTACAGGTTTGGATTCCTGGCTTTTATATAGCTAGGGAATACAAAAGCAAGATTTTCATAAATGGCACAGTAATAACAGTAGAATTGATTACCCAGAGACCTGCTCATGCACCAGTGAAATTATTTAGGTCTGCAAAACTAAGAAGCCAGGATTGCTTCCTTCCTTCCTTCCTTCCTTCCTTCCTTCCTTCCTTCCTTCCTTCCTTCCTTCCTTCCTTCCTTCCT